ATATGTATGTATTTTTATATTTGTCCAAACATGAAGAAAAAAAAAAATCACTTTTCTTTCATATAAAACTATACAGAAAATAAAATAAAAAATGTGCCATATGTCTCAACCTAAAACATAAAACCTTCAATAACCACTTAATGGCCTGCAAGACAGTAGTTGAAACATGAAGAGAAATATATTTTCTTTCATGGAAGAAGTATCGAAAGTTATTAAAATGAAGTGAATACTACATAATCTAACCTGAAACTTACAGCTGCTGACCATATGCTGCAAGAATCAAACAATAAGAAGAAAAAGGTTAATAGTATGATCATAAGCACACCTAAAAAGGGGAAACTATGGATACCTTCATTTCTTTTTGTTGAAAGCTTAAAAAAAAGGAAATGGTGATTGTGAAGGTAGCAACTTGTTTTATATTGGCCGTTTCATTTTTTCTCATAACCTGTAAAAGAGTGCAAAAGTAATGATATCTCTTACAAGCCTAAAAAGTATACAAATGGCAATCTAAAAGAGATTTTACCAATCTCAATAAAATCTAATGGTAAGTATTTGACAGCACATTAGTAGAAAGCAATAATGACCACCCACTACAATATTATATTCAGTAAATTGATATGTCTAATGTGTTTTATAATAATTTGAGTATTGCCTGACTAATTTGAGTTTTTTGAATTTATAAAAAGGTCAGCCATAAAAAAGGTAGTCTCAGAAATCTAGCATTAAACATAAAATTGAAAGCAAATTTCACTGTAAGCAACTGATTCAAACATTCATCAACTAAAACAAACAAACAAAAAGCAGAAAACATATATTGAATTAGACCTTATATGAAGTGCAGGAGAATCGTTTTCATTGAACTGAAGCTCATGTTTCTGGCACAAACAGTCGCTTTCTCTCTTCTCCTTCGCCACATGAATCCGTCACCCGTCAAGTACAACTGGCAAATCATAACGAACAAAAATAAAAAATTCAATCAAACACAAGCTGACGATTAAAAAGAAAAAAAAAAAAAAAGAAAAAATCAACTCACCTGCTAAGTACAATCGACAATTCGTGTGAATCCATGTGTGGAACCTTCCCAATTGAGCAGGATTTCGCGAGAAAACGCGTTGGCAGATTGAAGCCCGTCGAGAGGGGAACCCTATCCTCCGGAAAAAAGTCAAAATTCCGGTCAAAAAGAATGCAGGCGATAAAAAATTAACGTGCAATAAGAAATTATAACTACTTTCAACGGATTTGTGGTAAATTCCGGTCGAATTTTTGTGAAATTGGTAGAGATTTGTGAAGCGAAAAATACAAAAGAAAAAAAATGTCTGTCGCTCTCGCCTCACTCTGTACAGATACATTAGATAGAAAAGAGATTGATATAAAAAATTAATTAAACAAAAGACAATAAAAAAGGTTAACACGTGTCAACATAATAAGCAAAATGGAGAGAATTAAAAAATCGTTTTGCTACAGTGCCAAACTTCTTTTTGTTAAATAAGAGACATTATATATATATATATAGAGTTAGGATCACATGAGAATAGTAGATAGTGAAAAAAATAAGAATAAATCTATACCATTGGATCTATCATGTGAACGATCATGATTGGGTCAACTATTAATAAGTATCAGTCAAACATGCATGGCATTTTTGTAAATAAATAGTCATAATATGGTCAAATATATTATTTTGACCTCCCATTAAGGTTAAAATTGTAACTATACATTATCTCACCTCAATTGTGGGACCCACCCCACCCACTCACCCTAATCACCTTCCCCTCCCGAATACACACACACGCACTTCAGAAACACACATAGAGGACACACCAACACACACAAACAAAAATCCCCTCGCCGGCCACAATTCACAGCCATCCGCCGCCCTTCCGATCCATAATGTCCGCCCTCTCCGTCGACTGGTTTCGCTCCCACCCCTCACAGTCCACCGCCCTAGTCTCCGATGTGTTCCTCGGGTGGATCCACCACTCGCCGCCGACCTAGGCATCGCCGCAATACATTCTTCCATTTCGGCGCCTCCGCCGTCTCCTTCGTCAACGCTCTCTGGCGCGAGATGCCGCGGCGCAGAAACCACGCCGACGACGCCGAGCCTGTTCGTGTTCCCGGCGGCCTGAATTTCACTATCTTTCTCTGGTCGAACTAGGACGGTGATGGCGGTCGGGCCGATTTTAGTTGTCGCCGGCGACAGTGACAGTTAGCCTAGCCTATAAGTGTATGTGTATGTGTGTGGCGGGCTCTGCGTGTGTTTTGTGTGTGAGAGAGGGTGTGTTTGTGTGTGTTTTGCGTCTAAGAGATGGGTGGACGGTGATGTGTGTGAGAGGGAGTTTGTGTGTGAGAGAGGGTGTTTTGTGAGAGGGGTGGACGGTGATGTGTGAGAGATGGTGTGTTTTTGTGTGCAAATGGGCCCAGGTTTTGTTATGTTAATTGTTATGTGTAAATAAATCTCATTATTTTTGGTTTTTTAATTTGGGTTGCTACTTGCAATCCGATATTTATTAGTGTGCAATTGGACACCACTATTGTGCATCCTCAATATATAAATATATATAAAATAATAATAACAATAATAATTTTGTATAGTTTAGGCGGTTCGGTTATTTCAATTATATTAAAAAAAAAATTGACAATGAATTAAAATAACAAATACTTTAAAAGTAAAAAATAAATTGAACGAAAAATTTGGTTTGGTCGACTTTTGTCGTTATTGTGCAATTATGTATTTGCAATTCGTTTACACTATTGTGCAAGGTCGCGGTCGCTGTTATGCAGTCTGACCGACTTAATTTTTGTCTCAAACTAAATTAAAATCGAATCGAATTAAACGGTTTATTCAATCGGCTAGTCGAACTAATCAAAAATCGAAATAATATATTATTTGTACTATAAAATCATATGTAATAATTTTAATTATTTTTTAGTTAAAAATAATAATAATTTTTTTATATATAAATGCAACAAAAAAATATTATTCATATATTTCAGTCAGTTCAATTATTCTGGTCATTTTAAAAAATAAAGCCTGTCAAACTGAAATAATCGAGATTTTAAAAGTAAAAATAGATAATTGAACCGAAATATAAAATTCTAAACCGAAGTCGGTTTCGGTTGATATTGTGCAATCTGATGTGAATTAATGTACAATTCGTATAACACTATTGTGCACTTGCATATTAGATTTTTTTTAATAATTTATTTTCCAAAAAAAACTAAAATTCAACCGAAATAACCGGTTCATTAGATCGGTTAATCGAATTACCTTAAATGCTTAAAACGATTTATTATTTATTATTATGCAAATTATATTTAGTATTTTAATATTATTCGACATTTTATATTATTTTTGTAGAAAATACATAATATATTTATGTATAAAAAAATATGCATATATAAATAATATTTTTATATATTTTTTATAGATTACATACTTGACCCATTGACTAAATTTAAATATAATAACTTTTGTTTTCTCTCGGTATAGAAATGTGCATTTTCATAGGCATTAATGTGCAGTCCGTATAACAATAATGTGCAACCATATAATAATATTGTGCAATTCGTTTTTAATTAATTTGTATTTTTTAAAATTTTATAAATTACATATTTAACCATGAACTTAATTGTAATAAGATTATTATTATTTTTAGTTTGTAAATAAATCCTTACAGGTTGTCTAATTTAGAAAAACAATCTTGCCCCAAATTCACCACTCCCCCGTCTCCCCCATTGTCTTCCACTTTCCCTCCCATACCTCCATCCCCCTGGCGGCGAGAACACCGTCGACCTCCCCGCCTCTGGCTTCCGATACAAGCTGTCCCACTCTCCTCCCTCAGCCGCCCCATCCTCGACTGGTTCCTCACCCGTCCCTCCCTGCCCACAACCATACTCTCCGACGTGTTCATCAACTAGATCCACCATCTCGCCGCCGAGCTACCCATCTGCCGCAACTCCTTCTTCCCCTTCGACGCCTCTGCCGTCTCCTTTGTCAACGCCCTCTGGTGCGAGATGCCGCGGTGCAGGAACCCCGTCAATTTCTGATGTGGTCGCATCTCGTCGTCGCCGGCGCCAGAAACCGGATCCCTATGACCGTGCACCGCTGTCGTTCAATTCACCTTTTCCGGCGACATAAATCGGTTAGCTTTCCGACTGCCTTGCCGCACGCCTATTTGCAGATCCGCAACAGGCGGCGCCGATGAGGAGGTCGGGCGCCGATGAGGAGGTCGGTCGGCCGGCGGCAGTGCTCCGCCGTGTGTGAGTGTGTGCGTCTCGATTGTGTGTGTATATGTGTGTGTGTGTTAGAGAGAGAGAGAGAGGTTGACAGGCTGTGAAGTGTGAACGGAAGAGATGGGTTGACATGCTGTGAACGGGTCATGTTGTTGATTTGGGGTGGGTCCCAGGTTGAGATATTAATGTACTATATTACCCTTAATTACTGCTAAAATTAATATTTTTTTGAGTCATTGGATCATATGATCGAATGGCCAAGATTTATTCTTATTTCTTTCACTGAGCACCATTCTCATGTGAGCGCGACCCTATATATATATATATATATATATA